ATCCCTCAATCTCTGTGACATTTTCAGTACGATTCCCCTTCTATGTTTCTTGGTCCTATTCTGAGTGTGTAAAGGGCCAACCTTTTCGTTGCCAACAGTGCTGTCACTGTGGAAGTGCTCAAACTCCTGACTTTCCTGTTGGTGCATCCTCTATTCCGGCTCCCACCGTCATATCGCCCAGATGCGATGTCCTTTCCCTTCTGCTCCGAGCTCTGTCCTCCGCACTCCCTCTCCTTGGTGCTTTCCTGCTTCTTCCAGATTCCGCATGGACTGTTCCTCTAGGTGATCTTCCCAAACCTCCTCATCCTGCCTGTGCTCTCTACAAATCCCTGCCTCACCGCCCTGTGCCCCGCAGAGCCGCACAGTGCACCGCAACTACCAACTCGCCCATTCGCACGGCCGCAGAGCTGAAACTCTTGACAGGGACTCATCCATCTTGTTCACTATTGTGTCCTGATGCCTGGCAAACTGCCTACGCCGAACAGCGCTTTATAAATATTTAAAGAATGAGCACATGAGTAATTTGACAGTAAGCAAACTGTAAAGTATGTTTATAACTGCCTTACAATATGAACCTCAGTTCAGGCGAAAACACCGTGAGAATAACATCTCATGAAGTATTTTTAATATGAGATAATTGCAAAGTCAATCAGAATAGACCCTCTCTTGATTTAAGACAAATCTTTTCTACTGGTTTAATAGAGTTGGCTAAATAGAAACTCACATAAGTGCTTATTAATTATACTAATTAGCAAATGGTTACATTAAAATATATGAGCTATGTAGAACCTAGTTATAACTGAGAGTGGCAATATCCATCTAGTAAGCACAAGATAGAGGAGAGTTTCACAAAGTAGTTTTTGTTGCAGTGCAGTAACCCCCCAGTTACTTGTGGGAGTCCCCTGGTTAATATCCTGATGCAGCAGCTTTGGGGGGTATAAATGGGGAAGGAGGGATGATGTGTCTTGGAGGATTTTTATTTTATACTGCTTTTTATTCCATTTTTATTTTGTGTGTATGAGTGTTTGCCTGCATGCGTGTGTGTGTGTGTGTGTGTGTGTGTGTGTGTGTGTGTGTGTGTGCGTGCTATGTGTACGTGGTACTTGCTGAGTCCAAAAGGGGGTACCGCATCCTCTGAAGCTGGAGTTAGGGATGGTTGTAAGGCACCAGGTGGGAAACCCAGGTCTCCTGGAAGAGCAGCAAGTACTTTTAACCACTGCGCCGTCTCTCCAGCCTTTTTCTTTCTTAATAATGTGTAACTGAGAGGTGTTTGAACTGCCACAAAGAGGGCAGTAATGTCCTTACTATAGCCTAGAAAGAACTCTTAATGGTGGAGCTCCAGAAGGAAGCCAGAAGAGGTTGGCATGAAGGTATGTCTTTGGGGGAACTGTCTTCATTACCTTAATTAATGTGGGCAGACCCCCACCTAAAAATCTCTTGGGTTTGGATCCCCGAGTGGAGACTGAGTACAAGCAGGCAAGCATTCGCACGCTCTTCCTCTACTCTTGCCTGTGATACGACCAGCCGCTTCAAATTCCTTCCTTGACTCCCCTGCATTGATGGGCTGGTGTGGGCCAAATAAGCCTCTTCTCTCTTCAAGTTAAAGCACTTTATCACAGGAGCAGAGGAAACCAGGACAGGACCTGAATCATATGTTCACAAAGGGTCTGCAGTGGCACCATTCCTTTCAGCAAGGAAGTGTGAACAACCAGAAGATCAATGGCCAAGCAGCACGTGGTATCTGCATACGATGTATGTTACTTTACCATATAAATAAATGAAATGTGCTACAGCATGGATGAAGGCTGAAACGGGATGCTTTAGGACAGAAATCAGACAGGGGCCTTCATGCTTTGTGGTTCTTTTCTGAGCTGGGGATGCAGTGCAGCCAGCTGAATGGATGCCGGTGTGGTTCTGTTGATACACAGTATCATTTATATAAAATATCGCGGAGGTAGACAATACATTGTGGTTGCCAAGAATCTGGAAGAGAGGGTGTTATGTGACAGTATTCCTGGAAGGCATGAGCAAACATCTACTCACCTCGGACAACTCACAACAGACCTAACCAAGGAGGCCACTGAAGTCTAACTTGGTGAACCAATGAGTTTTATTGGGTTACTTACAGGAATATGGGTGAGAGGTTACTTATAGGGGAAGAAATGACTCAAAGACTGTTGCTTCTACTATGCTCCCCGCCCCTTAATGGTACGATGACCTGTCATCAGATCAGTGAGGCAAGAATGGCCACGGTGATGGAGACTTCAGGCAGTGAGTAAAAGACTTCTCTGAGGATGGCTTCAGTGAGACAGCTCATTTAATTGGGGGAAACAATGGCTATCTAAACCTTTGGGGAGTGGGTAGAGGCATTTGGGGTTGAGTGTACATCACTGGCTGGGGCCAAGGTGCTGGGAATGCCTTATTTGCGTGAGGAGGAATTCTAGGCTCTTGCTGGACGTGACCTTACAAGGAGGGAGGAGGTTTATCCTGTAACCTGGCTGCCAGGCTGTGTAACCACCTCAGGGATGGCGGAGGCGGGGTCTGCAAGGCTACATGTGTACCAGGGCAGAGAGGGAATGGTCCTACTCCTGACAGTCTCTAGACAAGATTTATGGGGTTTGGGCAAGCCTTGACCTTACTTGACCAAACTCCTCCAGTTGCATGTCTCCTTGGCCCCACAAAAGAGAGCTGCATTACCAAGGCTCACCCCAACATGGCTGACAGCTCACAAAACTGAGAACCTGGAGCACAGTGCACAGCCTATGTGTAGCTTGGATAGTCAAGAGTGTCCTTTCTTGGCATCTCTGCTGGTCTCTGCTTCTTCCAGACAGCTCGGCTTGTCTGAGAGTACTGCTCAGCAGTCCTTACTGCTTATATATATGTGCGGTGAATCTGCTCAGTTTCAGGGACTTCCTGAGCGTAATGAACTTCCCCCAGGATGGAATGTTTCACCTCTCCATGGAATATCCTGACTGTTAAGGAGCTTCCCTACAAGATGAAGATTTACCTAGGAGGAAATTGCTACACAATGGAAGGGTTTTGGGGTTTTAATATGTAATATCCTCCATAGGCCCATGTATTCAAACACCCGGTCCCCAGATGGTGGCCCTGTTTTGGAAGGCTGTGGAATCTTTAGGACATACAGCCTTGCCGAAAGTGGGTCACTAGGGGTAGGGGGGAAGTGGGCCTCACTGGGGCTTTATAGCTGGCCCAGTTTCCTTTTTGTACTATGCTTCCTGACTGCTGATACAATGTGAACAGTGGCCCTACCTGCCCCCATGCCCTGCATTCCCTTGAACTGTAAGCCAAAATAAGCCCTTCTTTCCATAAACTGCTTCTTGTCCCAACAATGTGGAAAGTGAAGGACATAGAGGGAGGCACAGCATCTGCTGCAGGTACTGGGTGGGGTTTTGCTGTGAGGTAAATGTTACAGAGGTAGGGGAGAGCTGTTTGGCCTTGTTAAGTTGTGGCCCTTAAAGGACAAGATTTGTGGTACGTGAAATACAACTCAATTTCTTATACTTCACGGGGTGCAGACTTACTTACCCATTAGCCTATCTCCTAGTTAGCTCTGTATTCCTACTACAACAGCAAAAACTCTACATGTATTAGTAGGAATACCTGCTTACTATTCTTCTTAGTGAAGATATGCTTAAAAGTACCTGCAAGAGGGCCAGCGAGATGGTTCAGTGAGCAAAGAGGCTTGTAGCCCAGCCTGACAACCCAACTCCAATCCCTGGGGCCTAGATATGGTGGAAGGAGAGAACCAAGTCTTCTAAGTTGTCTGCTGACCCTCGCATGTGCTATGTGCACACGCCCCCACAAGCAAGTAAGTAAAAATGTGAAGAAAAAAAGAGAAAAGCTATAAAAGACAATATCTTCAAGAAGCATTAACCTATGAAAAAAACTATGAAGCAGATCATATATAAGCCATCTCATTGGTCCCTTTAAAAAGCTTTATTTACTTGTGTCTGTGAGTGAGGGCGCATACTCGCCAGCACGGGCAAGTAGAGGTCAAAGGACAGTTTCTGGGAGCTGGTTCTCCTTCCGCTTTGTTTGAGGTGTCCAGCACTCCCATGGTAAGATAGGAGGTGGAAAGAGAAGAATCACCCAGAATCTCTCGGGCCATCTACCATGGGCACAGCAGACCCTGCCTTAAGCAAGGTGGCAGAGCACTAGCCTAGCATGTGTGTGAGCCTCTGGGTTCCATCCCAGTACCACAAACAACAACCAAACGAATGCTTCCGCATGATTCCAGCCTGCACCAGGTGGGAAGCTGGTCTGTAATACTCCGACTGGGGTCATTCTTGTTTATAAAGTAAACATGGCACCTTTCTTTGAAAAGTTGTTTTAATAAATTAAAAAAAAAGATACAGTAAATTGAAAACATCAAATTTATTTGTGAAATACTGGAGAAGGGAATGCACCCAAACGCTTTGCAATCAACATAAACACACGTGCGAGCTCCGAATCCTGGCCGCCTCAGCGTCACTCTCGGCTGTGTGGCAGCTGAGGAGGCTTCTGGCCCCTGACCTGTGGGGCCTCAGCTTGAAAGATCGAGAGCTCAGGCAGAAGCTTGTTAGCAGGCCCACTGCAGCACTGGGGGGGGGTACCCAGGGTTTCTCATGGCACACTTGCTAACCTCAAAACCCTCCAACAGCTGTTTGCACCTTAAAGTCTCCCCAAAACTTTCACTAAGGCTTAACTCACTAGAATAGAGTACGGAAACATGAAGAAAGAAAGAAATACTCTTCCATTTCAAAGGAACTAATATCTAAACCTGAAATGATCAAAAGTGACATCTTTCTCTTAAAAAAAAAAAAAAAAAAGCAGTACCCAGATGGCTTTGTCAGTTTGAAAGATATGCTAATAAACTGGACAATGAAGAAAATTAAGTCGTTGCTTTTTTTTGTCCCCAGAGCCATGGGGACCTCTGAGGTCTTAAACTTCTAGGACTGTAGGCAGTGGAACCATTGTGTTCCAGGAAAATGGCTAGGTGACTAGACAGGGCCTGGGGTCCCCCGGGAAGATGGGGGGTGCTGCAGGGTCTCAAAGGCTGGTGGGCTGCTGCTACTCAGGCTGCCTAGGTGGCTGTTGATGACAGCAAGTTCCTGGATCACCAGGCTCAGGTCCTCGTGGAGTCGAACCACGGCACTCTTCACCTCGCCTAGAAGGGTGTGGATGGAATGGGACTCAGGTTCCACGGGCAAGCCTTTGCTCGCCTGGCAACTAGCATGGGGTGTCAAAGGGAAGTGGGCCCTCACTGGGGTGGAAAACGCTGGCCGACTGCTGCCGGGAATGGGAACTGACTTGGTAGCTGAATCAGAGTTGTTTGGGAGATTAAGGTAATCCTCATCATCTGAAGAGGCTGTGCCCCTGGGAGCACAGGGTTGGCAAACCCCGGATGCCTTATTTTTGCATGTGATGAGGGGAGAGGGTGACTGTGGCTGGGGCAGAGGCCAGAAGGAAGGGCTGCTCAAAACCGAGGTAAAGTGACGAGCTGACTTCTCTGGATGAGCTGAGTCAGGAGACGACACAGACAGAGTAGAAAAGGAAGATGTGGCCTCAGAGGTGGTGGAGACTAAAACAGAACGGAGAGAGACGGAGATTTATATAACATACAAACAAGAGCAATGGCTAGAATAATTGTGCCGTGTAAACACCTGTCTGGAAGGTCCCAAACCAGTTTGAATTTTCAAAGTTAAAAACTCATAAACCTGAAAACCCAAAACAGGAAATGGACAAATCTAGAGATGTGTTATACACCAACAATGCCTCAGAAATGAACCTAAAATAGAATGAGCAATATTCATCTTGATTTCCAAACTCTGCCCAGCATATTTTTACACTACTGTAGACCTCGTCCATGAAGGGAAGTTGCTATGTCTTGCCGCCGCCTGCCAGCATTTTATGTAGGCATCTGAAGCAGGGAGGCTGAGGAAGCTCTAACGTAGTCTTTCATCTCTCTCCGCATACAGATATTATTATAAAAAAATAAACTGCAGAGACTCCAGTGAGTAGCATGAATCTTTTCCTCTCTGTGGTCACATACAAGTGAGCCTGAGCCCAACCCAGCTTTGACTGGAGCCCTGGAGCACACACACCCGTTCTTCTCACCAAGGATCTGAAGCAGCATGAAAAAGCACTCACAGCCCATTTCATAAAATTAAAAGACTTGAGAACAATTTCACTGCCTTTCAGACAAAGTCCTACTAAACGTCTTTTCTTATTGACTTCAGTTTCCCAGACTGTCCTGACTGTGTTCCTTAAGACAGCAGGTGCCGGGGCTGGCGAGATGGCTCGGTGGTTAAGAGCACTTGCTGCTCTTGCAGAGGACCTAGGTTTTTGGCACCCACATGACAGCTCACAACCTTCATGGACTTTGGTTCCAGTATATATGACACCCTTTTCTGCCCTCCATGGGCACCAGGCACACATGTACACAGACATATATGCAGGTTAAACACCTACACAAATAAAAGAAATCTTAAAAAACCCAGCAGGTGTTTTATAAAAACAGGGCTCTGCGGTCAAGTGAGACTGGCCACTGCGTATTATACCTCCATTAGGAGATTAACTATGTCCATCAGCACATTTAAAATGATGAAAAATCTATAGTTCTTTCTTTTACAGGGTCTCATGTAGCCAAGGTTGGCCTCAGACTCACTATGGAGCTGAGGATGACCTTGAACTCCCAATCCTCTTGCCTCCGTTTCCCAAGTGCTGGGGTTACAGGTGTTTCAGGACACTGTTTATGTGGGGCGGGGAATCAAACCCAGAGCTTTATGGATGCTAGGCTCTGCCCACTGAGCCACACCCCCCGCCCTCAAGCATCTTACCCAAGGGTTTCTGGACACAGGACCCCCCCCCCCCCCCGAATACCTACTTGGATTTATTTTTGGATATATGGTACAAATTGGTGAAATGACTCCCAGTCCTCGGATGTCTGTGATTCACTCTGAACTTGCTGCTTTAAAGATTTACTCAGCCAGGCGCACAGCAGGGAGGCCGAAGCCTGCCACTCAGCACTCGGGGGACTTAGCTTTGTTGGTAGATTTCACTACATATTCATGTCCCTTCTGAACTAAACTGGAACTTATAAAAATGGCCAGGGCAGGTGGCCACTCTCTATTTTTTGCCTCTAAGCTCTTCAGGCCTATCTCCAGTTCTCAGGGAAGGTTCCAATCACAAACCTTGGTTTTGGATGCCAAGAGTATTCTCAGCTGGTGGGGCAACAGGGATGAAAGGAAAGCAGGGACTCAGCTGCGCATGGTCAAGGCCAGCGCGCTCGTGGGAGAATCTGGGTCAGGCTAATCTAGCCTCTGTACTGGGGCTGGTGGGGGGTGGCACCATGCTAGTGGCGTGTGGGTGACGAGAGCCTCACACGCGCTCACGTGCTTTGTGCTGGGGCCCAGCTGTCATCTGCTGCATCCTTCACCTCCTGGGCTGGCTCTCTGCTCTCCAGCTTCTGTGTCCCCCTCTTCCTTGTTTTGCTCTCATTAGAGGATAGCACAATCACCAGCAGGCCAATGACAAGGCGGCCCAAGAGGCAAAGACATTGGAATATTCATGCCTAAAAATGTTCTTTCTACCTTCAGGCTTAGTGACAGTTTGTGTAAGGAATTTTAGGCAGAAAAATCTTTTCATTTGGACTTAAAAAAAATCTTTCTCTCTTCTTTGTGTCAGTGTATCTGTGTGTATGTGTGTGTGTGTGTGTGCTGGTTCTTACCTTTCCACCTTGTTTGAGGCAGGGTCTCTTGTTCACAGCTATGTACACCGGACTACCCAGCCTGTGCGAGTCTGGGGACTCTCCTCCCATCTCTTCCTAGGACACCGGGATTACAGAGTTCACTACCACGCATAGCTTATGTGAGTTCTGTGGATGCAAACGCCGGTCTCCACAAGAACAAGGCGCTTGCTTGACCACTAACTCTTGAAAGCCAACTTCCACTGTCTTCCGGTTTCCAGTATTGAGTTAAGTCGTAGCCATTCTACTCTTTTTTTTTTTAATTTTTAAAGATTTCTTTTCATTTTACCTGTATGGGTGTTTTGTCTGTATGCATGTCTGTGTACCAGGTGCAGACTCGTAGCCCGTGGAGGCCAGAGGAGAGCACTGATCCCCTGGAACTGGAGCTACAGATGGTTGTGAGCCGCCACGCGGGTGCTGGGACTTGAACTCGAGTCCTCTGGAAGAGCAGCTGGTGCATTAACTGCTGAGCCATCTCTCCAGCCCCGCTCTTCTAATTCTTATTCATGGCACACAGCCTGCTGCATCTCTGAGGTATTAGCAAATTTCCTCTCCGTCTCCAGTACTCTGGGATCCTCGATGCTGTGCACTGAAGCGGGGCAATTTTCATTGACTCAGGTCAATCGAAAGCGAGTTTTAATCAGGCAACTCATTTCCTTTAGATTCAAATGTTTTCTCAAGGCTTCCGTCAGTGAGCTTCTGGCCCCTCGTGTCCCCGCTCTCTCTGTCTCCGAGCCCCTGACCGTTAGAGCGGCTGGGGCATCTTCTAACTCCTAGCCCTCTGTTGTGTGCGGCGTGTGCACATGCATTCGTGTGTGAAGTGCAGGTGCGTGTGTGCCACTGTGGTCCTGTGGGGGTGAGAGGACACTTCTCGGCTGAGGGTACCCTCCTTCCACCGTGACACAGGGCCTCCTGCTGACCGCTGTGCTCAGGCCGGCTGGTCTGTGGGCTTTCCAGCACGATCCCTCTCCATCTCCCATCTCACAACAGACACACCAGGATCAGAGGTGTGGGCCACCTCAGCCCTGTTCCGGGGATCCGAATTCTGCTCCTTCATGGAGCTATTTCTCTAGCCCTCTTTTCCAAATATTGTTATTAGTGTGTGTGTGCGCACCGCAGCGTATGTGTAGAGGTCAGAGGCCACTTCACATAGTCCATTCTCCCTATCCACACTTCTGCAGGCTCGCTTGGGGAGTGTCTTTATGGGCTGAGGCATCTTGCCAGCCCTCTTTCTATTTCCCCCCTTCTCTCTCTAATGTTGTCTCTTTGCCCTACTTCTTGGAGGTTTTGTGAGCCTTAACTTCCAATCCTTTTGGTGAATTTCTTCTTTCTGCGGGACATTTTTAATTTTGAAGAGGTTTTTTTTTTTTTGTTGTTGTTCTCAGAAATTCTCAAAACAGCCTGTTCTTGTTTCAGAGATACATCGTACTTTCTTACCTTTTAGGCATCTTAAAGAAACATTTTTAAAGTATTTTCTTTTCCTTTAATAGTGCAGTATCCTGCATTGTGTTCCCACACGGTTCCTGTGAGAGGCCTTTCCAGGAGCTCCCATTCTGTGTCTGCCTGATTAATAACAGGGGGTCAAAGTTGACAGGAGCTTTGAAAATAGTGTGAGGCGCCAACTTAGAGGCCCAGTGAACAGTCACTGGGGCGGGTTATTTGAAGGAACTACAGATGCCAGCAGTCCTCTGAGGCAGGTTGGAGCCTCACAGTCTTCATATTTGCTGCTCTGAGAGGAAAGGTCTGGCTACCAGCGTTCTCGAAGTCAAAAGGGAAGGTGCCAGCACCTGGCTTGCCCTGTTCACTCACTCCTACAGTTGTTCTGGTTACAGTCCGCACAACCTGACTGTCTCTTGGAGCTCTCATTTCAGAGACCCACCAACTGCTCTCTCCAGATTTCCAGACCCCAATTCTGAAAGTTGTAGGGTGGGTGTCTCTTCAAGGTAAGTGACTGCCTCAAGATGAAGCCCAAGGACAGAACTCATTTTTATTTTATTCTGTTATTACTATGATGATGATGTAGTGGTGTAGTTTTGTTGTTGTTTTGTATGTTTATTTCCGGTCTGTCTAAGTTGCCCTGGCTGTCCTGGAATTTACTATGTCCGTCAGAGTACCCTCAAACTCTGCCTCCTGAGTGCTGGGATTACAGAACTCATTTTTAAATAGCTGCTTTGTAGTTTTCTTGTCTAAATGTGGTTCTTGTGCCTTTCCTGAACCTAGGGAACTAGAAGCAAGGTGGGGCTGAAAAAAGCTGAGTTTCCCAGGTTCCAGGTGTTTCTGAAGTAGGAACCAGCAACTCCTCCTCTGGCCACCTTCCCGAGGCTCTGTGCCTCCACTGCTGAGTGACAGTGTCATGTGGCCTTCCGCTCTGATCTGCAGGCTCAGCGCCTGTGTCAAGCCACTCAGCGCTAATTGCTGCGCACCAATTTTCCTTTTGTTTCCAAACATTCTGCAGCTGTGCCGAACCCTTCAATCTGCTCCTGGGGCTCTCCTCCGCTGCCCCTTCTCTTCCCCTGCACTGGCTCCCCACAGAAGCGGCGTGGGCATCCTGCTGGCATTCATCCTCTTTGAGTAGCAAATGCCGCAATAAGATACAGTCAGTGGCTGTGTTTTCAAAGCTCATCCTGTGACACGCATGGGCTAGTTCAGCTACTCCAAGACAGCACCGACAAATTCATCCCCAATGCCGGTGTGTTTTCTTAACCATTTACACTGTAAGTGTGGGAAACCTGCTAATTAAGATATAATGGCTTTCAATTTAAACGGCATTTAGAACTATGCTGCAAAGATGAAAAAAAAAAAAGTACATTTCCATGGATATTGAAATCCTGCAT